TCTACTTATTTTTTCTATGTAATACTCGTAATTGATAACCAAGTAGGCCCTGTTTTCTTCACTTGATTTTTCTTGAAACTAAATTAATTTTAAATTAATTTTACTGGTTTGCTATTATATACAAGTATATTTTTTAAAATAATGTTAATGTTAAAACTTATGTTGCTGAAAGTAACTTAATTTTGCTATACTGAAATTTATATTACTTAAATTAAATTATTTACTACACATTTTTTGTTTAGTATGATGAGAACAGGACCTAATTCTGATGGTTGATTTTGACTCTGCTTATATGAATTTTGTAGGCTGCATATGAGCTGTTCAATGAAAATCATGCACTGAAGCTTCCATATTGCATAATCATTTCTGGGTTTGTATGTGCCCTTTTTGCCATAGGGATTCCTCATTTGTCTGCTTTGAGAATTTGGCTTGGAGTTTCAACGTTCTTCGGTCTGATTTACATAGTAATTGCTATTGCTCTTTCACTTAAAGATGGTAATGCCTGATTCCATTTCCAGCCTTTACCATTCGTTACTGAAAATCATGCTCACATCACAGTGCATGGGTTTTTAAATGTTGTAGTCCATGTTACAAAGTATTATTCAATCTATTGTAATTACTAATGATTCATTAGTAATAATTTTTTGAGATGTAATGCAGAATTTAGTGAGCATGTGAATCCTGTATATATCATTTTGCGTACCTGGCCTACGAGTAGGTTTAAATTAGCATGTATGATACTATATGCATGAATGCTAAAGCTCATTTTGTATAAGAGACATGATTTATTCTGATATTCTTCTTAGAGTTGCAGGATTGGTTGCTGAAACCTTCCCGGTGGTAAGATTTCATAGTTTCATTTTTATTTGTCTTACTGCTGTCTTATTTTGCCGCATTTTCCGCGTCTTTCTTCAATGGAAAAGCTAAATCTAGATCATCTAATATACTTACATGTTTGAACTTTAATACATGTTACTGTACTAATCAACTATACTGTATGCTTGTTTTGTAAAACGTAAATAAAACTAATTTTTAGAACTTAAGGAACTTTTTAGCTTATGTATGCGTCAAATTTTGTAGGCTTGTGACTAATTTGAAGATAGATACAATACTTGCAATCTGAACACTATCCCCTTTCCATGTAATCTGTCACCCTTAACTTTGAACCTTTTTCCGTGAATCGAAGAGTCTTCATGTATCCCGACTATGTTTTCAATCTGTTCAGACTATTATATCTGCCCCTTTTGCCTTTTCTTGTTGCTTTGTCCAAAATTTCATCTGAAAGTAATCTCAAGGACCTTTAATTTGAAGGGTGCAATTCTGAAGCTAGGCGCAAACCACTCATATCTTGTAGCAATATGTTGTGTTCATAAAACTACTGTGGTAAACTAAAATTGTGTATTAATGATGTACAGGAATCAATTCTCCGCCTAGAGACTACACTGTACCAACTGAAAGAGGCAAAGTCTTTACAACTATCGGAGCAGCTGCTAATTTGGTCTTTGCGTTTAACACAGGAATGCTTCCTGAAATTCAGGTGTGTAATCGTTTCTTCCTTAATCCTAAATGAAGTTTGATAATATATATTTTCACATAACTGCATTATTGTAATAATATTTGAGACATGAATCTTAATTCTCACATGTTGTTTTGCAATTGAATTGTGTGAGCAGGCAACAGTAAGAAAGCCTGTGGTTGGGAACATGATGAAGGCCCTGTACTTTCAATTCTCGGTGGGAGTCGTACCCATGTATGCTATCGTTTTTATTGGTTACTGGGCATACGGGAATAAAACCGATTCCTATTTGTTGAGCAATGTCCACGGTCCTGTTTGGGTGAAGGCCTTGGCTAATATCAGCACTTTCCTTCAAACTGTCATTGCTTTACATGTACGTATACATCTGTTCACTGTCTTTGATTTTTATTTCCAAAATTCAGGAGAATATGTTTATAATTCTTCTTGTTTGTGTTTCTCAGATATTTGCAAGTCCAATGTATGAATACCTTGACACAAGGTTTGGGATCACAGGGAGTGCATTCCATCCTAAAAATTTGGGATCGCGAGTACTGATCAGGGGAGGTTACCTAGCATTGAACACTTTCGTCTCAGCTCTTCTGCCTTTCCTAGGGGATTTCATGAGCCTTACAGGTGCTATCAGTACTTTCCCACTCACCTTTATCCTAGCAAATCACATGTACTTCAAAGCGAAGAGGAACAAGTTGAGCATGGCAATGAAGATTTGGCTCTGGATCAATATTGTTTTCTTCTCCTGTATGGCTGTAGCTTCCTTCATTGCTGCTTTGAGATTAATCGCTGTCGACTCCAAAACATACCATGTCTTTGCTGATTTAGAGGGTTAAATATATATTTTTACACATATTTAAGCCTTATTAGGTTGAGTAATCAGCAACTAGTAGTGTGTTTTTTTTTTTTTTTTTTTTTTGGTACTTTTAACCAGCAACGTTAGTGTACACTTCCTATTTGGCTTTTTGGTTCATTTGGGGATTTTCCTGTGATTCTTCATAGTGGGTAAATTGTACGTATTGCATTGTATTGGAGAGAAGGATAAATAAAATGAAAAATAAAAAAATAATAGGAAGCATATTATTTTCCCCACTTGCTTTCTTTTTTTGTTTCTTTTATTCAAAGTTCATGCATTTCTATACTTTATTTCTGCCCTTTTTCACCAACAAAATATGCTGAGGTCATACTCCATAGTCCCTTTATTGAATTATTAGGTTCCTAAAAAGGGAAAAAAGACATTTTTTTTTTTCTAAATATATTCATCACCAGTAAAATACAATAAAAAGGAAGTACTGTAGTGTGCCTGTGAGGTTCTTGTAACACATACTTTCAATAGGTGGCATGTCATGTATTCAAATATCTAATACTCGCTATCGAGTATCAAAGCTTAGTCTAGTCTATAGTGATAAGGTTTGTCATCTTACAACTAATTAGATGTGGGATCAAATCCCACCAGAATCACTTTGGGACGGAGATTCCCTTACCCGTCTTCCCTTTATAAGATCAAATCCCGTTAATTCGAATTGGGAGAACCAGGTTAACTTGTGAAAGAATTCGGTCCGATAGAGCTTTTTTCCTTTCATCAAAGTATTACAACGTCTGACACACACAATATGTACATTAAATTTTATATGGTATTTCCGTCCGTGCATTATAGCGTTCGTTTGCATGAAAGCAAAAAACAACGAAACAAGAGAAGCACATGACGAAATTAAGAAAATTAGCAGTGTTAAGAGCTGCAAATGTTCTGCAGTTATTTCGAAGAAATAAAGGGCGGATACTGATATTTGGTGATGGGCATCCCCTGATATAAAGTTATTCAATAAATTGTTTTTATCTGATAAGAGAAATACTTTATATATACTCCTTATTATAAACATCAGCAACCTCGTAACTATCAAATTCAGGGAAGAAATAAAGTTTGTATGTATTCAGAATTTCAACTACCAAGTGAAGCACGTAAGTAACTCTTATTGGTAAACTTTGTCACGAAAGCTCGTGAAAGTTATACTTCTTCAAAATACGGTTTTACGTATTTTGGATAGAATTTCAACTTTTTAGAAAACAAATCAATTCAAAATCAGCTTATAATAATTGATTTTATAATGAATTCTAGAAAATCAGGCAGATTTACATTATCAAAATAAATCAATTGAAAATCAACTTTATCATAATTGATTTTAATAATCTAGAAAATCAAGCAGATTTACAATCTCATTGTGATATTAAGGCAGTTTATTTACTATTGTGTTACGTACTCCTAGTTGTTAAGTCTATGCAATGTCCAGATTATACTATACGCAGTATAATTTTGTATGATTCGTATCTTTAATTTATTGTACACATTCCTCTACTATTAGACTGTAGGCTTGAACCCCATTAATATCATATACACAGAATTACTAATTTAATATTCTATAATTTATTCAAGAGTTTAATGCTTGTAACGTGAATACGACACTTGAAACGAATTGAATCACCTTGTAACCCACTCTTCTTTAATTTTCTTGGATAGATAATATGGACGTGTGGAAGGCATGTGATGAAGTGGATCCATTTGACTTATTACATGTACAAAAAAAATAACCCAATTGGATTAGGCCTGTAGGTAGAAGAAGTATGGCCTGGGTAATTCTTAATTGCATAATAGCTAAATGAATGGACTTGCCAAACTATGGACTTAGTTTGATAAGATGAATAATAATGTAGGTGCAGGAGCAGGACTGCTAAACATAAGTTTGGGTATGGGGGACCATAATAGTCTGGACCCAAAGTTTTAATGGTGGTCTCATCCTATTAAGATCCATCTCTAATGGTCCATTTGTCCTCATGTTTTCCAATCTGCTGGCATCTACTGATACTCTTACATAGGGATGCTTTTGACTTTTTGTATCAGAGTTATTGCGTACACCCCCTTCCCATAACGATTAACAGAATTTCCTACAATTTAATCAGGATCATACGTATAGTTTCATAGGAATCATAAAAGTCGTCAAATATATCTTCAAGTTTTCAGGGCATGCAAGTATTCTGTACTGTGATGATGATAAGGAATATATTAGAGTTTTGTTTTGTCAATTCATTGCACACTTACATAAACTCAATTTATGTTACTTAGAGAACCAGATCCAGTACTTCTAATTGTCAAGTACTATATCTCTTATACATGCTTTTAAAATCTAATCCTACACTTATATGTGTGACCTTATATAATACAGTATTTAGTCGATTAATAATTCACAAAACCTACAAAGCAACACTTGGTCTAATGCTAAGGTTTGTTATGTCACATAGTCTTGGTCTAATGCTAAAATTTGTCGTGTTACATAGTCTTGGTCTAATGCTAAGGTTTATCATCTCATCTCACATAATTTGGTCAAATGTCAACGTTTGTAATCTCATCTCACGTAGTCTTGATTTAATGCTAAGGTTTGTCATTTTATATTTACAATTTTAAGGTTATATATGTTCAAATCTCACTAGAGGTATTTTTTTATAATAAAAATAAAATAAAAGACTGTTCAGATCGTATGTCCCCTGTCCAAGTCCGCGCCCGGTCACCGCCTAGCATCACGGCGATCTGCAGCGGCGCGTCCTAACATCCTCCCTTAACGCACTTTTTATCCTCTCCGAATCTTTCTTTCTTTCCTCTATACGACTTCTATCGTTCTCTCTCTCTACTTCTGGAAAAGCCTACGAACTTGTTTCAACTCAAATCGTCATCAATACTCTCTCTATATCTCACATCAATATGGTGAAATTTGTTCGACAGTTAGTCGAAATCGTTGCAAATTCAGTTCATCTTCGGTCAAATTGTAGTTCAATTCATAGAAATTTCCGCTGGTGTATTGTATGATCCAACAATGGCGAAAATTAGGGATAGGACTGAGGATTTCTAAGATGCTATTCGCCGTGAAGCCGTTTCTTTGGAGGACAACGAGGTACATTTGCCAATTTTGTATTTTAGGTCAGATTGAATTTATTTTGGTTTATTGTTATCGACAAATGATTATTGATGATTGATTGAATTGGAATGGCTTGAATTATCATTATATAGATTATAATTGTATCCTGATTGATTCTATAGAATTTTGCAATTGATGCAAATTATTGTAATTAATTCTTATGAACTTTCACTTTTGGTGTGTTAGTCTAAAATTGCTGCTATAATGGCATCATTCATAATACACAAGCCTTGCCAAAGGACTCCGTTCATGAAAATCTGCTTCGAAAACAGTAAATGGATCGATTTAGTATTCGAGGCGTTAATTTGATTAGACAGAATTTTGATGCATTGCAATGCTGTAATGTGCTGATTTTGCTTGGCATTTTTGAATTTACTTATAGCTTGTGAACTACCAAACAGTAGAGAGATGCATTGAGCCTAAAGTAAGTTCTAAGCTATCTTTAAGTTGGAGTTGTTGTGTCTAATTATTGTTTTTCTTGTGCTTAGTTTTGGCATCTCTTCTGTATCATTAACTTAGCTTCAATTTAATTTAATTAGTGGTGAGATCCTTGCAACATTCAATCTTTGTAATTTCAGTATGTGAATCTTTGGCTCTGAGAATAAAGAAAATGACTGATTGTCTGTTCTCATTCAAATTTCAGAATGCAAAGTTGATGTCATTGCTAAAGCATATACGAATTACGAGTACATATTCTAAGTATTGTGTCTGCCTCACTTGCATATTTCGTGTTTTTAAAACAATATTGATGTGCCATTTTTCACCAAAGCTGGAACTGCAGTTGCAACTTTTAAAACTTAAAGTGCATCTTTTACAACTTCAACATCAATATCTGCTAATTTTCCTGTTTTTGATGCTATGATTCTGCACTTCTTTCCTTCTGCATCTGGAATAAAGCGTTTTCTCGACTAGAAAATTCCTCACTACACATTATTCCCTCGACTAGGATATCAAAAGTTTCCATGTTTACACTGGACGGAAAAAAAAAAAAACGGTTGCCTAATTACTCGATGATGTAAAAACTGAGAGTAATTCCCCCTTAAACCCCCCCCCCCCTCCTGGAAAGCACAATTACTAATTCATCTGTTTTTGTGTATTTTTCAGGTTGTTGTAAATTGGAAGGAGAACGAAGAAGAAATAAAGGCAACTTAAGGGGACTGGTGTTGTATTATACTGCCTCATTGTGTTTGTAAAAAGGGAGCTTAAATATTCCATCCAAAAATTTGGGTACTAAATTTAAAAAGTGTTGTAATTTTAAAATTTTCAGAAAATTGGATGACCTTGTACAGTTGTAAACTTGGTGGGAAATGAGTTTGCTTTATTGTCAACCTCTCCCCTATGTGAAGAGTTAATCTAATTTTAAGTACTTCCCTCTCTTTTCAATTCATTTAATTAAACCCATTAATATTGACTTGGGACCACACTTCCTTTTCTTTCCTTACCAATTCTTAATAGAGCAGATTTGTGAAATAGGGCAATAAAAAAGAAATAGAGGGAGTATTTTTTTTTTTTGATCGGGGATATTGAAATGACTACCTTGCAGGGAGGTCAAATGATTTTGGGTTGCTTCATCAAGTTGCTATTTTGCTCAAGACCCTCATTACCAAATTTCAGGGTAAATATTATACTCCGCAAGTCCACATTACTAGCGATTTTAGTTAGACCTAGCAATCGTGTCGTGTTGTATCGTGTTCATTTTCATGTCGGAAATCAAATGGGTTGAAAAATGTTAACACTAACCTGACCCATTTAATAAACGTGTCGTGTCGTATTGACCAATTAATTAATCGTGTCGAAAACCCTTAACACTAAGCCGTTTTTTTCGTATTCGTTTCGCGTTGTGTTGTCGCGTTGAATTGAAACATATAGGTCTTATTCAATATATTTATCAATAATTCCATAAATTATTGGTGTTTTATAATAGGCGGGTTAGGTTGTGTTAATTTCGTGTTGAGAATCTGAACACTAACCCAACCCGTTTAATTAAAAACGTGTCGTGTCGTGTTGACCCGTTTAATTAAACGTGCTGAAAACCCTTGACACTAACCCGTTTTTTCGTGTTCGGTACATATCGTGTTGTTTTGTCGTGGCAGTTTTTGCCAGCTCTAATTTTAGTTTGAGAAATTTTGGTTTAGATTAAAACAAATCAAGAGGGTTGGAATTTCGGTTATGTTTAATAATAAGAAAAAAAAAAATTGTATATAATTTGTCGGTATATATGTGATTTTTTTATCATTAAATACAATAAATTTCGTGGTAAAAAAATTATGAAAAATGTATTTTCAAAAGATATACTAGTACAATAGTACACATTTGAAAAATACTTATTAAATCTAATAAAGACTTATTCTCTTAACTTGAATTAGGTCTGAATGACTGAATTGAATCTAATTTGGTATGTCTGATTTAATGTATTTGTTTGACTAAATTTTGACCACACTTTTACACTAATCTATATATTAGATTTGTCACATCTTTTACTTTTCAAATATATAATTTTTGTACATTTTTTAGTGATCAAAATTTTTAGCAATAAGTAAATAATAATTAAATGTTTTGAACTAGTCTAATTCGAATATTTTTGGTCTTATCTGATCTGATTTTGAAAAAATGATATAGTGAGTGATAAGTATTTGAAATAAATTGAAGAGGACATGTCCTTCGACCCCATTCGATATGTATATTTTTTCTTATAGATTGACTTACACATAAGGTTAAAATAAATTAAATCAAGGTCAAAGTTCAGTCAAATTATCTAATCATATTATATTATATGGAGTAAATAAAAAAAAATTACTCCGTAATTTGAAGTTATTATATTTATTTGTTTATTTTTTGTTCTTTTTGGGGTGAAGCCATGTTGAGATTATTATAGTAGTTTTATTTTTTTATCATCATGTGTAGAAGATCGATTATAATTTTACAGTAATTTGAAGTTGAGTGTTGACGTGTGTATATATATAGAGGAACTATAAGCATTTATGCACTCAAATTTTTTTCATGTTTAATTTCTTGGGGAATTTAATTGGCCTACATATGCATGTATTTTAATTTGAATTTCAACATTATTGTGTAATGGACAAGAGAATTAAACAAGATATTTTGATTGTCAATTATATTTTAAAGCAATATCTAAAGCTTCTTCTAAAAAAAAGTTTTACTAGGTCATTTTATTTAATTTAAATTCATTCACAATATTTTTTTTAATTGTTGAGAGTAATTTAAGCTAAGCCTTGCCCTTAGCTAGTTAGTGTCAAATTCAGCTAGAAAATCAGAGAGAGAATTTGGGAAAAATTGATCAGAAGTTTTTATTTCTTGTGGAAAAAGATATCACAATTACAATCACGTATCAATACAGTATTTATAGATACATATTACAAGAAGTATATACAAGTATAACCAACTCTAAATTATAACAAACTCTCAGCAAGTTGTTGTAACAAACTTGCTGACCTGGATAATCTGTTATGCACCTTGCTCATGACTTCGGGTCATTAGCATCACAATCTTCAACAGTTAGCTTGATGTCTTACCAGAGCTCAACACTTACATTAGCATTAGCCATAGTGTATCATTGTGTGTACTATTGATTTATGGACCTTCAATTCAAAGTCAATAACATAATACGAAGTATTCATTATAAGACATAACGCAATTGAAAAAAGGGACAGCTAGAGTAGGAACTAAACCATTAAGTAAATAATCCAAACACGGTTGAAAGACTTGAAACTTTGACATTCGAGAGCACTAAACCAGACAAAGCAAAACCATGGACAATTAATTAAAAAAAAAAAAAACGACTACAACTAGGAATCTAAGATACAACTTCGTTGACTGCTTTGCTCTCCATGGATGCTACGAAGCATACAACATATAAGGCCTTGGGGCATTATTGAGTGAGAACAAAGGAACAGAAACATCATCTCTTGGCTTCAGCACTGAATCTTTGTTAGTATTGGCTTTGTAGTATTCAACATCTAGAGACTCTATACTCTTATAGAGTGCTTCAAGGCAACCTACCATGCCTAATTCCTTCTCATTCAGCAGTTTTGTGATTGTACCAAGTGGCAACGACATTATTTGAAATATGAAATCTACGAAATCTTGACGAGTTTCTGCAAACACTACCTTGTTAGACTTTACGTCTACCAGGATTTTCAAACTCATCTTGCTCTCACAACCCGAACTAGCCATTTTGGATTATTTGTGTACTTGAGAGTAGCAACAATGAGGGTATATGAGTTTATTTATAGAGAAATTATATTGCTTAGTTAATTGTGGAAGTTATTTAACCCATATGCATTATTCTACTTCGTAGCTGTTTCCAAATTTCTAGGGGAATTTCAAAAGCCAGTGTTTTTTAAAGTCCCCTTTGTTTATGTTATTTAATATTAATACAACACCAGTTGAATTTCCAACATCCAATTTATTGATTCCACGGAGCACCACGCATCAACTATTGAACAAGTCGCTACGTGAATGAACAAGAAATTTATTACTCCGTATTGTGAATTGAACTTACACTTATTGTAGCAACTTTTTTTTAGGTCACAATGCAAATTATGACCTTTAACATTTTTATGTAATTAATTAATTACTTTAAAACTATTGTACAATCGTACACTCTTCGAGATGAATAAAAACCAACAACATGCATTTGATTTATTTGAATATTGCCACAGCAACTGCCAATTTTTCATGACCTAATGCAAGAACTGGATCTTGCAAATTTGTATCCATATATTGCAAAAAACAATTTAAGTCAATTATTTTTTGATTCGGAAAGGAGAAAAATAAGTACAACTATATGTATTCTTTTTTTTTTTTTAGTCGTCTCCTCTCTACTTTTTTCTCTCTAGGGTTTTAAAAAAAAATGTTTTATAGGCCATAAATAGTCAAATTTCTCCGGAATTTTGGCTATTTCCGACCTTTTCCCTTTAGTTTCTTTATGTTTTTGTTATTGAATTCAATAAATTTACACTCTTTAAAGGTAGTAAGTACCCCTATAGTGGGTTTGAGTGTAGTAAGTACCCCTATGGTGGGCTTTGTTCTAGTTTTATTTTTGTTTTTTGAGTTTAATATGGTACAAGTTGTTTCATGGGTAAAGATTTGTGCGGGATCGAGAAAGAGATTAATCCTTCGATTACAATCAGTTGCATCAGACAGAAAATTTTCTACACAACTACAACAGATCAATATACCCTATACCCCGTCGACGAAAAAGGTTGTAAATCACAACGATATGAAAGAGGGTATGAATATAATCACCCATTGCCTAAGGCCTCTGCTTGCTAATCCTATCAACCCCTTGCAATCTAGCTTTGTTAAAAATAGAAGTATTGATGAGAATATAATTATCATCAAATTAAAGAGATGGCTCATTACTTTAACAAAGCAAAAAAAAAGGGAGAACCATCATGGCCTTAAAAATAGACCTCACCTAAGCCTTTGACAACATTGAATGGGATTTTATTCATGAAACTCTTTCTGGCTTTAACTTCCCTGAAAATCTGGTAAATCTTATCCTCTCTTGTATCACTACTACCTCCATCTCAGTTCTTTGGAATGGGGAGATTGTTGAACCTTTTCAACCAACTCAAGGAATAATTAGACAAGGAGACCCTCTTTCGCCCTATATTTTTGAGTTGTATATGGAGAGATTGTCTCAAATAATAGAGGAGGAAGTAAGGCAGGATAATTGGGATCCGATTAAAATCACTAAAAATATTGGCCTTTCCCACTTATTCTATGCAGATGATGTTTTCTTGTTTGGGAGGGCTAATTCCAAAAATATCAGCACCATAAACCGCATTCTCCAAGCCTTCGGGAAAGCATCTGGCCTATGCATTAACTTGACAAAATCCACCATCATTTTCCCTGCATAAATGTCACATTGTGTTAGAAAAAACATTTCCTCTATAGCTTGCATAAAATGCACCTCTTCTTTTGGGAAGTATCAAGGGGTAATGATTGCCTAACAAATTAAAAAAGGGCGCACCCCATTTTCTGTTTCTCTAGTGGCATTTTGGAAATTATTCCTATCTTTGAGCTGCTGACTAGACAACGTGGGGACAAGCTGATTTGGCAAGTATGCTGAGTATGTGGATGGTGTTAAGCTAAGCAACCGTATCAATGTTCCTCATTCTACTGTCCTCCATCACCTTCGTCCTCCATTGAAGCTGTGAACCATCATCTCCTTCTTGTCCTTCAGCTCGCACCCCCCCCCCCATCTTCTCCGTGGTCCTCCGTCTTTTTCGTCCTTCTTCTTCTTCTTTAATTTGACTGGTTCTTCTTCAATTCACGCCACCAGATCTCGGCATCTTGCAACCACCGCTTGGATTTGCTTGATATTACCTGGTATCTCGCTGTC